CAAAGCCCTTAAACCCTAAACCCCAAGCCCTAAAATCCTAAGTCATAAACCCCAAGCCCTAAAACCCTAAACCCTAAGCCCTAAACCCCTTTAAGGAACCCTATAGATCCCTTTAAGGAACCCTATAAATCCCTTTAAGGAACCCTTTAAAGGAACCCTAAAGGCCTTCTAGAAATCCCTTTCAAAGAAAGGAGCTCCGACTGGGAGGCTGAGTAGATACCCGAGCGCAGAAAAGGTCGACCTTTCAAACTGGGCTTAGGGTTTAGGGCTTAGGGCTTAGGGTTTGGGGTTTAGGGCTTAGGGCTTAGCGCTTAGGGTTTAGGGTTTAGGGCTTAGGGCTTAGGGTTTAGGGTTTAAAGTACCTTATTCTTGTGCCCTTTGGACCCTTAGGGTTAGGGTTTGAGGGATTTAGGGTTTAGGATTTAAGGTTCAGGGCTTAGGGTGGTTTAGAGGTTTAGACGTCTGGTCTAGGATTTAACATGTAGCGTTGAAGGTTTAAGGTTTAGAAGACCCAAAAGGTTAAAGGCTACCTACTCAGCCCCTAAGCCAAAGCCCTGACCTAAACCCAAAATAGTACGGCGCCCGTGTACAAGGAACCCTAAAAAGGACCTTAAACTCTAAACCCTAAACCCTAAATCCCTGAAACCCTACCTAAAACCCCCAAAAGTAAGTAAACATACTGGCCCAAAAACCCATAAACGGCTATAGTTCTACATACTTTTGGGGTCCAGGTAGGTCTGACCGATGATCCCGAGCTCTTTCCAGGTACCTCGGAGTTCTACTCCACAAGTACGCTTGCAACTCAGCAGTTCTACGGGGCTCCCCCTCGAAGAACCTTGAAGTTGGTATGTCTGCAAAGAGGGACCCGCCGAGGGAAGTACATGCTCAGCTGCAGCGAGGTGTCTGTGACCGGCCTCGAAGCTTTGGGCTCCAGAGCCCCTCGGCTCTTCATGAGTCATGGCAGCTACGGGCCCTCCCATGAAGCAGGCCCGGCTGCCAGCTCGGGAAGCCATCGGCACCGGCTACGAGCAGAAGCTGCAGCGACTGATTGCGGAAGGGCGATTCATCCACCCACTGGATGGTGACCGGCCGAGCTTTGCAGACCTCGCCCACGCTTTGGCCAGGTGGGGTTGGCTTGGCCGTGCACCCCTAATTAAGAGCGAGGTTTCGGAGTTACTCAGTTGGCTAAACAATGTGTGGGGGATGATCCAGGGCCTGGGCTCCAGGGCTACAGTATGCTACAGTGTTACAGTAGTGCTTATTTGAAGGTGCTGTGGCCTCGTCCCGGAGCAGCCGGTGAGAGCCGGGAAGGCAGAGGAGCTGGCCGCTTTGATCGGCGGCAAAGCTCGCAGGCACATTGTAGTGGTGCTTTGCGATGGAATGGGGGTGAGCACTCTGCATCAGCATCTACCTCCCGACAGCTTTCTCCGACAAAACAACACCCGCCAGCTTAGAGCCGTCTTCCCAGCGACGACGCCAGCAGCACTCACAACTCTTGCCACAGCTGCCTGGCCTGGTCAACATGGCCTTCCGGGGTGGGAGCTGCGAGATCAGAAAGGCTGCGAGTTCCCGGGGGCAGCTGGCGTCGGACCGATCCAGCTGACCATCTTGGATCAGGTAGTGCGCGACATGCGAACGAGGAAGCCAGTTTCAGACCTTGGCTTTGGTATCGAGGATATCTATATTCGCAAGCCGTGGGTATCACAAGGAGAGTCTGCAAGGCGAATGAAGTTTGTGAATGCGTACAATGGAACAGAATTCACGAACTGGTACCAGGATAAGCACTGCCCGAGCGTTATGAACATCCCAGAGACTGCGCTGGAAACACTGGGCCAGCCAGAGGGGTCTCAAAAGGCAGTTGAGTTTTTCAACGCCGGCGTCGATGCGGTCATCAGTAGTGTTACAGAATCGGAAGAAGAGGGATGGCAGTCTTATGTTTATCTTTACACCGCCCACCCTGACAAGCACATGCACGCGCTCGGGGTGGAGCATCCTGAAGTCACTGCAGTGATGACAGGCATCGACCAGAGTCTATCGCGACTCTGGGAGCATCTAAGGGAGCTGGATGCGACGCTCATAGTCACTGCCGACCATGGACATGTTACTGTGAAGCCAGAGGAGATGGTTGTGCTGCCAGATGAACTACTTAATTGCCTCGAATATGCCAATGTGGGTGTGCACGGAAAGGGGCGGCATGCTTACTTCCACTGCCGGAGCGGTCGTTTGAAAGAGTTCCAGAGGCTCTGGGACACCTATGACACGCTGCGCGAGAACTTTCTTCTGCTGCCTGTGGATGCAGCGGCAGAGCTTGGGTTGTTTGGCCCTGACCCTCCCCTGCCAGAAGTCCGACCCAGGCTAGGGGATTTCCTTGGGATCTCATGTGGAGCTCATACTATCGTGAAGCCGTCGGAGGCCACTCGGTTTCAAGACCGTGCACAAGGATCTCATGGCTCTATGACACGTGAGGAGATGGAAATCCCTTTTCTGCTTTGTAGCCCGAGCTCCTCAAACTGAGCCACCCTCAGACTTGCTTGGATTCCAGAGAACTGTACTTTGCCCTGGTGGTGTGCAGATCATCAGCATCACCTCACTGTGGACAGCGAACTCCTGTGAGGCTGCAGGGACGGAGGCTCGAGGAGGCAACTGGTGACGCAGGAAGATGCAGTTAACTCGAACCCGGTTGTCTCTTGCAGCATTGCCACGAGACGCAGATGCCGAAGAATCGGAAAAGCCCCAAGATCTTGCTGCATGTCAGCACAGACCATGACCACGAGCAATGAGTTTGGGGCTCCACTTGCCGATGTGTGCAGGCCCAAGGCTTCAAAGTTTCTAGGTCTTAGGTCCTGCAAGCATTATGGCAGTGCATATGGGTTGCATGCAGCTATTTGAGAGTCTCCCAACAGCCCCAAGAAATCTGAATGACATAGCTTTTCTTCGGAGTGTAGGTCGTACTTGGGGTATGAAAGGGAAGTTCACCGAGCCTACTTTGTATCACAGCTTTCAGTGGACTATACGGGGATCTTCAGTAACTCTTACGGAGGCTACGTTGCAATATAGTATGCGGATCGAAAGAGACTACTATTCCAGGTAGGCCTTCGGGACATTTTATCTTCTCTCTTGTTGGGCATAAGAGGATCTAACTCACGAATATTTCAGAGGCTTTGGAGGGCCAACCTATTGCTATGATTATATTCATCTTCTTCCGCTTCTTCTCATTAATATTCCTGTTATTCTTATTCTTCTTGTGAGAGTTTCTGAATTTTTATTATTCTCGTCTATTTGTACTTAATAAGCTCAGACTTTTGAGGATCCCCCTCCGGAGATCTTCCGCAGCGTGGCCGAGATGCAGCTGCGGATCCTGGGTTCCGAGGAAAGCCCGGAAAAAGCCCCGCGGGTTTAAGGTTTATAGGGTTTCGGGTTTCGAGGCGGAGAAGGGACGTTCAAAAACAAAGGTTTGTAGGGTTTAGTAAACGGCTTAGGGTGGACCCCTTTATAGACGTGTATAACCGTTTACATATGTATACATAGTGTCGAAATGTAAAGTTTCAGCTGCTGTCCCAAAGATAAAGGCCCCTGTGCTACTTCAAGGGGTCAGGGTTTGCTCAATGCAGGGCGGAGGGAGCACACCAATAACTTGCTGCAGACTTCGTACTATAGTTAGTTAATAATAATACCAATAATACGAATTCTAATCATAATAATAATGCTAATAAAAACAATCCTCCTCCTCCTCCTACTACTACTACTACTACTAATAATAATAATGATCATCATCATACGTTGGCTGATGATTGAAAGAGCGCAGCCTGGCCAGCAGTTGCACTAAAACGGGGCAGGCAGTGTCCGGAAGATCCTTCGCAAAGCGGAGCTTCTCTTTTTTTTGGATCCCCAGCATTGAATTCACATGGGTAGTCTAAATTAGGGTCCAATTTAGGGTCCTTTTTGTGCGGGTGCCGTACTATGTTGGGGACCTAAAAAGGGGGACCTAATTTTAGAGAGCTACCCACATCGAAACCGTTGAAGCCATGGAGGAGTCAGATGCGGGATCGAGCTGCACTTTGATGCTGCCGCGCGAGGTGCCGGAGTGCTGTCTCGTCTCGGTGTGGCAGAGCGAAATGGGATACCCCTACTATAGTATGATATAATTATATAATATAGCATAACGCAGTATGGCACAGTTTCGTAAAGTTTAGTATGCACGAATTGCAGCCGCGCTACTGGAGGCTCCATGCGGCTTTCTGCGCTTCCTCATCTGCAAGAAGTTTGGGCAAGACGAGGCTGGGCCGCCAGTGGCCTCTCACTCGAAAAAGCAGGGTCCTCTTGTAGGATCCTGCATGGACACAAGAAGTAGACGGCAAGAGGGATCAGAGGGTAAGGGATAGCCTCTATTGCCCAGCTGTCTTTGTGAAGCATCAAGATGTTCATTTCAGCATCCGTCTCTGCAGTGCAGAGCAGGAGCTTCCACGACTCGGATGGTGTAAGTATTCAAGGCAGCAGTGGCTAGATGTCGTTTCAATTCAGTGCTCTCAGAGTTCCGATTAAGCTCCCCTCAGCAGCTTCAGAGCAATTACATTCTAATTCTAATTGCTTGCCAAGGTCGGCAGTTTCTTTGACAGCTCTTTTCAGTCGGGAACCCTGGCGACATGCACTTCAGACACTCAAGTATGCTTCTATAGGCTGTATAGCCTCACGATGGTGTCTTTCGTAAGAAGAGTCGTTTCGGAAATCCAGTCTGCTGCAATCAAAGCTTCCCGCCTTGCCTCACACCATGTCATGGTGTTTCTTGATGAACGCTGAGCTCAAATCACCGCCATGCTGCACGATTGGCTCGGGCAAGTTCGCCAAAGGAATCGACAGGATACAGGAGCCGCAGCAGTGGTGGAAGACCTGACACACAGAAGCAGCACGGATCCTTCACGCATGGCTGCCTAGATCAGCTACAGCTTCGCAATCACAGCAGCAGCTTTGCCATGCCGCCGCGACGGAAGCGACAGAGAGGCTTTCAAGCTTGCCTAATGCGCCCAACCTGACCCTACGGTCACATGCTTCCCAGATCCTTAAGTAGCCTCATGATCCGAACTCGTCGACAGCGTCGGAAGACAGCTCCCATCCTACGGCCGTTAGTTGTTGCATTACGAGTGCGACAGGTACCATCGCTACTTTTTGCAGTGATCCAAAACCTAGACTCCATCAAGCTGCGACAGCCTCAAACGTCCTAAAACCCTTTCCCTGCCAAACACTAAAGAAGCCGGCCAGTCCGAGAATGGGTCCGGAAAGCTCACAAGTCCTCCAGCCTTGATTGCTTCGAAGTGAGTTTTCGTGTTTCAGTGGCGCTGACAGAGAACCCCTAACCGGGCCCCTAACCCCAAGCCTGCATACGCAGGGTTGGGCCGGGAAAGTGGTGGGGTTTCTCTTAGCAGGGTTCTTACTATTGGTCCAGGTGTTGAAGTCCCAGCTTTCTCGTATATTGCAGTTTCACTCCAGCCGACTTAAGACCACAAGCCTCGCCTGCATTGTTCGAGTGTCAAGCCTCGCGTGACGTCGAGCGAGTGTACTCAAAGAGACCTTGCAACCCATACCCATACCCTAGGCCCTAAGCTTAGGAGACGAACCTTACAGCCTACACCCAGATGAGCCACAGACCTGCGAGGGGCCCTGGCAGTTTCCTCGGAAGCTGCACCTGCTCCCGAGCCTTCTGAGGCGTGCCGGGGGTCTGTCCGCGCCAGTCTTACAGGTTGAAGTTGTGCTGTTCCTATACCAGTACTGTTTTTTTGGTAGTTCGGAACGACTACTACTATTACTGAAATTTGAAATTATTTGTTTATTGTGGACATCATGATTACCATCTGCTGCCAGTAGTCTTGTGATTCAAGACCTTTGTGAGTGGGCTTTCAGGGTTTCGGCTTGAAACATGTTTGCCTAGCCTGTAGGTGTTACGTACATGACATTGGAGCCTCAAGCGTTTTGGTTGCCCCAAATTCGGCAGGCTCCAGGTGGCCAGCTTTGTCTGGCAATAGATACGATCCTGCTCTCACAACATCTTTCCTTTCGAATGCTGCTAATTCTCCACACCACACTGACCTAGTTGTTCATGTTTATCTTGTTGAGGCATCGTGGGTGCACCGTGTTTTTCGGCTAGAGTATCTTGCCTTTGAATTGAAAAGACGCAGAGCTCCACCCAGTACAATTTCAGGGCCGCGGGCTGTTGTTCCGGACCTCTACTCCATCCCATGTTGAAAACCCGGCTTATGGCGCCCATGATTTCAGGCTGCCCTGTGGATGGGATGGTGTCAAGAGGACTTGGAGAAGTTGCACCAGGAGGCCGTCACAGCACTCACATCGAGCGGGAGGATCTTATGGTAGGCTGCTCAGACTCTTCCGAGGTTGGAAGAGAAAACTAAAGAACTACACTGCAACTCAGGGCTCGAGGAGTTTGAGGAACGGCTGGGCATCGATCGAAGGAGATCGCTTGAAAGGATGTCCAATCTCAATGGTAGCGCAATTATTATTGCAACTATGCAGTACAGTTTCCTATGAGATCTTGCGACATGCCGATGTATTCCATCAGACTTTCCGTGATACATGCTGCCCGCCTGGGGGGCTCCAGCCCTGACGCCGCAAGGTGGAGGCAGGCGCTCTGGAGGCCTGCAGGGCTCCAAACTGGCTGAGTCCGGTTTGGGTTTGGGTGTCTCAGTTTAATTGTTTTTGAATGGCTGTGTGTCTGTTGCTGGAGCTTCGATTCAAACGGCTTGCAAGGGCCATTTGGGGTTTTCCTCGGGGCACGGTTGCAGATCGATGAGACTCTAACAGCTCGGGGTGGGCATCGACAGCTTGTGAACTGTTCACAAAGTCGTCCGAGTCTACCGAACATATCATCAGAAGGCTAGACAGGAGGCTTGCCTGCAAAAAGAGCGACGAGTTGCTTGTAGACGTGAGGGGGCCGTGTTCTTGTTTTCATTTTTCGGCCCTCCTGTCTGCAACATTTGCTAACCGTTCAAGTCGAACTTCCTCATGGTTTGAGACAGGAATGCGAGAACTGAGTTCGTGCTTCATCTCCCTCCATGCAGGCAGAAGCCCTCTTTCCCCCTGGTAGATGCACGTCTATACCCGATTGTAATTTACTTTAACATGCTCTTCCTGCTATACACTATTTGAACTATTATTTATTGTTCTGGTATAGGTGGGCGTGGAGCTTCCTGCTTTTCTGGATGCTACGAGCTTTTGGGAAACGCCGGGAGCTGAGAGATCTGTGCGGCAACACGTAGAGGCAAGAGAAGTCATGAGGCCACAACGGCCTGAAATGTAACACGATGATTCGGAAAGTATGGGCACGATGCAGAGTAGCAGCAGATGTCATCGTCAACACTGTTCCTGATCATGCTGATGCTGATTCTGTTGCTGGTGATGATGATGATGATGAAGGTGGCCACAAGGCTGATGTTTGTGACGCTTTTGCCGGGATCAGGAGGACGAGGATCATACCGATGTGTAGGATGATTCTCAGTAGCAGTAGCCAAGCCGCAGTTGCAGTAGCAGTCCACAGTAGCAGGCAAGGTAGTAGGCAGATGTGGAAGTGGCAAAAGTGGAAGGGGTCGCCATCGTTGTCGTGATTGTCGTAGTAGTCATGAAGTAGTAGTACTCGTCGCCCTGGTAAAAGTAGTGGTAACAATAATAACAATAAGTATAATAAGTAAGTACTAGTAACAACAGTAGTTGTAGTTGTAGCTGTCACAGTACCAGCAGTAGTAGTCGTAGTAGTAGTCGCAGTAGTAGCAGTAGAAGTAGAAGTAGAAGTAGAAGTAGTAGTAGTAGTAGTAGTAGTAGCAGCAGCAGCAGCAGCAGACGTCGAAGAAGTGGTCCAAGTAGTGGAAGTCGTATAGTTGCAGAAGTCGTAGAAGTGGGAGGATTTGGAGAGAAGTGCTAGGTGTGGTAGTGGTAACGGTAGCTAGGTGTGGTAGTGGTAACGGTGGCAGGTAGTAGTAGTCATAGTTGTAGTGGTAGTGCCAGCAGCAGTGCGAGTAGTCGTGGTATTACCTTTGGCTCGAGGGGGTCTTGACTTGCCCGCACACAGGCGCAGACTTATAGAAAGTAGAGTAGCACCAGCCGATTATCATTGGCAGCAGGGCAGAAACGACAGCTTTTTCACGAGTCATAACCTGCTACCTCTCGTTAGGAAGATGCTGTTATGTTCATTGCAGGAATCGCGTGGTATTCTGTATGGTACCGGGGTATCGTGCCAAGTTGACGGTACCGCGGGATCATGAGGTACCCTAATAAATAAAGGCACCCTTGGCATAAGAACCCCAAAATTCATAGCAAGATTGCCAATTTTAAGAACCCCCCGCTGGTTGACACGAATAAGGGGCTATGATATCTTATGACATGCTAACATGTACTAGAATGTATGTTATAGTTCTATTACACCACAATATACTAAAATTCTTTGTTTAAGATACACGCTCATGCAGGCCACGTCGTGCTCGGCAGATTGCGGAGCGACTTCGGAGCCTTGCAGAGGAGCGAACTCTGAGCTCACTCAGACTCGAATCTCTGGGAATAAATGAACTTGTAGGTAATAAGCTGAGTGATGGTTCATAAGGCGTGCCTTGCAGAGTTGTTTATGTTCTGCTGGCATTTTTTGCAAGTCTTCTGATTCTGAGCTTCGGGTTCTGGTAGAATCTGTTATCGTGTCACTAGTGCAGCACGTCATGTTCATGCTTTGTGTTTGTTGCACGAAGGGCATGCTACAGTAGTATCTCTGTTTGCAGATAGAAACCTGTCGGATTTCTGTATGAAGTTTGCAATCTCTGTGTTGTCATGTGCAAGGTCTTGTTTGTCTGTCTTTGTGCTTGTATAGTCCAACCCGACCAGCGTGTTTTGCTGTCGCCTCATGTTTCCTACATTACACATATTGCTGATTGCGACAAAATTTGCGTTCAAATTGTTACAAGTGTGGTAAGCGGACTACTCTTTTGTATAGTCTACTCGAGAGGCTGTCTCTCTCTCAGATGTTTTTGTGGTCAAACATTTGTAGATGTTTTGCAAACCATCTGACTTCAACTGTAACTCGTTTCCACATCAGCTTCGAGTCGGAAGTCGAAGGCATCAAGCAGAGCTCGCAAGCTTTGTGGTTGCCCAGGCTTAGGTATATTAGCATGCAGCAGTACATATACACAGATGGCTTAAACGCCCGGAAACCAATCTAGCTCGACCTGCGAGGAACTGGATGCTCAGATGGCCAGCCTGACACCAGTTTCTTCTGCATATAGTCAACCATGGGTATTTATGGTTGGCGTTGATGAGTCAGAGTCCTTGAATGATTTGCGGATGGGCGCAGAGATTGCCAGCAAAGGCGGACTCGGTCCCGAACATGCCGGAGTTGCAGACACGGGATGGGAATCATGTTTTCTTGCGCGCAAAGTCGTTGTCAGTCATAGGTTGCTAGAGGAGCATACTCAGGGTTGCTGCGTTACGCATGTACAAGCAGATGAGCTTGCTTACACCAGCTCGGATTGCATTTGGCTGGCCTTTTCGTAGGAAGCTGGAGTACGGGCTTCGCATGAGGAAAGCCCGACGCCAGCTGCTGCCATGAGCGGAAGCATCTTTTGAATGAGACAATTCTACAGCAGACTTCTATACCTTTTGTAATTAATATTGTTGGCGTCCTGCATTCTTGTTGGGTCCGCTAATTAGGTGCGGTCTTCTTGTGATTGTTTGTGAAATTTACATCTGCCCTGCCTTCATCAGGGAAGGCGGTTGTCGAGAACATCATCCACATTTGATGACCAATATTATTAAAATGCCGAGTGTCTCCGTCTCTGCTTGCAGAAAGTTACAATTTGCTAATCTACTCTTGTCATTCGCTCATGTCGTGAGTGGAATTGCCAATGCCAACTTTCCAGACACTCTTTAGGACCGCAAGAGCACAACACTACACTCCGCATGTCGACTGCTGTTTTCCCCTGCTGCCAAATCAATCTAGTGACAGCGCCGACTAGAGTGAGTGGAGATGCAGCACCAATCAATACTTCGCGGCAGTGTCACCAACAAAACAACAGGCCACCACAGAACAACAGCTGTGTGATTTGATTGTGTCGCAACAGGTAACGGTGCAGTCGTGACATGGTTCGAGTATGGGGTGTGCCAAATTGCCAGGGCCGTGTGCGGAGTGCTACAGAACCCGAGCTGCGTTGTGGCGGTGCTACTGCAGCAAGGCGCCCGACAGAAGCCTTCGGTGCGACTGCAGCAACAATCGAAATACCAGGGAATCTATCCTCAACACAACTTGGAATGCAGCTAGCTCGGTCGACGTGGAGGACTCGTGGAGGTACGTCCCCGTTCTTCGCTTCTGGGATCATGTCTCTCAGCATTCATCAAATTTCTTCAACAGGGGTCTATGTAAGAGTGGGGTCGGGTGGGGTTGGGGAGGGTGGGCTGGATGTGGGTGGAAATGTGTCGGCTGGCATGAGGGCTTTGTTCACGGCCCGCTAGAAGCAGCCCGCTTGCACCCTGATCTCGAGGTACCTGCGCCAGCTGCGCAAAGCAGCGCAGCAGGCGGTCTGCTGCAACCGTGCCAATCAGTTAGAATCAGTTGAGGCCTATGCCATTTCTATGCAACTGCTAAACCAGAACTCGGACGTCGTGCGCCATGCCTGCTTTGCGAGTGTGTGAGTCGAAACCAGAACAGCTTCAATGGAGCCAAGTTATCGTACTGCTGTGTCTTCTTGTCAGTCCCAACTGTTTTGCTTCAAAGAGTTCAGCAAGACCTACCCCAGAAGCTAAACCAACATCGCGTCTCATAGAAGCGGCACAGAAACACGGTCTTTGAACAAACAAAGGGTCCTTGGCAGCTTTCCGCCCCATGTCGGAGATGTGGGATGAGGAGACGCGAGACACTTAGGCGGAGACAGACACAGATACCCACCCAGACACAGACATACACACAGCCAGATACGCGCCAAGCCTGAAGCGAGAAGAGCACATGTTCGTTGCGGCCCTGTGCAGGCTGGCCGGTCCAAAGGAGGATGGAAGTGGCTGGACACTGACAAGACTGGAACGGGCTGATGGTTGGTTGATGTTTGTTGTTTGTTGTGGGTTTCTGCCGTTTGTTTTGGGAGAAGTGGTCGAGATCTTGCAAGCGATTCGCATCTGTTGAGCGTGGTTGCAGAGGCCTCATGGGCCGATGTTGAACGGGCTCAGGGCTTGTTCTGCGGGTCGTAAGTCTTCGTGTTGCATGCCAAGCGCGCAAGCGGGCAGGGGAGAATTTGCAAATCGGGTCGGCAGCAGGAAGCAGCAGAAATCGGAAGGGCTCAAGGCTCAAGGGTCATGTGATTGCATGCAAGCGTGTCTGCAACATTTTTTGCTCACAGCATCGGGCTGCGGGACGGAACGCCTCATGCCGGCGTCGGAAGAGGCTAGGTCAGGATGTGTCAAGATGCGTTCAGTTTGACGGAGTCGTTGGGAGGCTTCTGCGGTCTCTGAATTAAGCCTGACTTGCGACATGTTGGCCAAAGGATGGGATAATACTTGGTTCGTTTCTCAGGCAGCTCTGCCGTGCACGTTTGAAGCACGGCCTCCGATTCTCCCTTCTGCCGGAGCCACAGGCGACGGTGCGACTGACAAGGTTGGGACTGGAAGGCGACGGAGTGAACCGGCAGCTGCCACCTGGCCTAGAGCTTCGGGCACATCTGGGAGTCTAGGATTAGGTTGTTTCGTTCGCATGAAGACGGTGCGAAGTATACACGCGCACATGCACACACGGACGAAGGACCAAAAACGCACGCACGGAGAAAGGTGCATGCACACTTCACCGGCGTGCATACCTGTGCACGCAATCACGCACACACAGAGACACAGAAACACACACACAAACAGAAACACACATCTCTATCCTTGTCTCTTTCTCTCTCTTTCTCTCTTTCTCTCTTTCTCTCTCTCTCTCTCTCTCTCTCTCTCTCTCTTCCTCCCGCTCGCCATCCCTCCATCATCCCGCTTGAGGCCCGACACCGACATCAGGGTTCGCCCGCTCCAGCTTCAGCCCAGAGGATAGTGCTGCATCCGAGGTTCGAGCTCTTGTGGAAGAGAGACCTTCTCAGTGATCAGTCGGTTGCCCTTCGTGCCTCGGCTCTAGATTCTGGATCCTTCCCATGGGTCTGCTCCCGGAGTTGCATGGCTGCGATATGCGCCCTATTGTGCCCTTGTGCATCGAGGTTTCTACTCCAGGCTATAGGTGAAGCTAGGGAACTGGAGCGGGCACAGCAGCAGCACCGCACGGTGGCTGAGGGATACCCGACACCATCGTCTTCAAGTTCAACTACCCGTCTTCCTCTCAGTTCAGAGCGCGAGCTACGGGCTGAACCTAATAGGGGACAGTCATCAGTGCAATCAGAAGAAAGGTAGTAATTACCGGTAGACAGGTTGCACTTGTTTTTGGCACTTTTCGATGGGATTGCCCCTGCTGGGCCTACAGCTCGGTTTCACGAGCCCATAAGGTCAGTTTGGTACTTCACGTCCTTGGATGGCACGCTGAAGCGCAAGCACAAGTCGAAGCTGAACGATGAGCCGCCGGCCTAGCCATTCGTTGCACATGTGTGTTGCAAAAATATCCGAGTGTTGATTCATGCTAACTTTGCGCATCGTCCTTAGCTGATTCCTTTGCGGCCGATGGGCGTCCTACGGAAGCAGTCTGGAATTGACGTGTCTCCGCTTGGAGGTATATCTTTCAGCAATTCTTGAAGCGACCTCCAGCGTGTGGCATCGTTGCCTACTACGCATGGACCTGAGTTCGAATCTGGAAGATGGAAGCCACCGCTGCATTCGTGCCTCTGAACTATCGGCCTGTGCAGCATGATTTGGACAGAGCAGTCATGCTCCGCGGAGGTCCGGACTGTCGTCGATGCAGAGGATGCTCATAAAGGCCTATCGACCGATGTCGGTGTTCTGGCACGCAAGCTGTCGCGCAATCTTGCTCCTCCGAAGCGGTCTGGGAAAGAAGGCGGAGTGGGTTTAGGGTTCAAGCCGATTGCCGCGAGCTGCTGTGTGCTGCATTTTGCGGAGGCCTTGCTGAGAATGTCCCAGCTCCGACTACCATTGAGTACTTGAACGAGGCTGTTTTGCACCGCTCTCTCCGACTCTCTCTGAATGCAGCACTGTTCGATGTGGGCGCTTCCCTTTTGGAGCTCACCAGTTCCTGAGCTCTTAATCTTAATAGCGGAGTTGCGCAGGCTCAGCTGCATGACTTTTTGTTCAACAGGCTCCCCGGCTGCCAGAGCTTTTAATCGTCCCAAGGCAAAGGCCCCCAAGGGTTCAGGACACGCTCCCAAATCTGTAGCAACGTGAACTGAGGCCTTGTCGCCATTATTCCTTTGACTATACACCATGCATGACGAAGCTGGGTCGTACGAACCTAGGCAGCGGGAGAAGGGCAGCGGCTTGCTACAGAAGTTCCTGGAGCCCTTCGGTGATCGTCCCTCTGGCTGCAGACAGGATGCCGGGAGAGAACCACCCCTGGAAACGAAAGCTGCTAAAGCAAGACCATCTCGAAGCTGATGCCCCATACCTCGGGCTCTGAGTCTGCTGATTCTATTGTTAATACAGGAGCAGAGTTAACCTGCTTGGGAAGAGTTTTGAACAGAGGTTACTTGTAAGAAGCTCCATGCATTTCGACGGACGAAGGAATGGCTTGCGGACCGTGTTTGTTAGTTTGTCTGCAGCTTGGTAGCTGTTGAGTTTCAGTCGTTGGTCTAGTGGAGTCGAACTTGCAAGCAAGAAGAGCTTCCTGCAGCGGGGCTTTGTAGTTTCCGAAGACGCATGTAGTGCTTTGGCATCGAACTTCCGATGCCAGCTCCTCAGCTTTTCAAGAAACGCAGAAGATCCATCGGGCTCATGCAGTATCATGCAGTTCTCGAATCCCCAATGATCAAGAAACCCTAAAAGCATCTAAAACTACAGCCTAAACTCCGAATCCTGAAACCCCGAATCCCCAAGTAGCAAGCCCACAAGCCCTCAAAGCCTTATAAGCCCGAATGCTGAAAACTGGAACCCCCAACCCTCAATTTCCCACCAGGGAACAACATGATTCGTGCTCTGTGGTCGCCCAAAGTCTGCCTCCTCGAGCGGCGCCTGAACTGCGGCCTGGCCTGGGGGTGTTTTTTTTTAAATAATTTAATACAATATTACTTTTTATACATTGTAGTATGTTACATGATGTTTTAAAAATATTGTAGTAGGCTTAGGCTATGATGTAGTAGGGGTAGTTCGGGCTAAGGAGTTTCGGTTTTGCTTAAGAGTGTGAGCTTTGTCAGTTCGGTGTGGCGTCCATTTAGGCACACGGAGAGGCCCGACTGCTCAGGGACGAAGAAGAGATGCATCGTGAAATGGCAGCTCTTTCTTTTCACAAGACCTTGTATCAACAGCGCTCCTCCAGCCTTTACCGTGCAGGCATGCTTAGAAGGTCACTGCCACTGCCCGCAGGCTCCTCCCAAGATCGTCACTGGTAGGCGTCCGCTCATCGCAAGGTCTCAACCTAAACGACACCCGCTACGACATGTACGAGCGGGCCGTGACATTCGAGGGACCCGACTTCCACTCCGAGGTGCGGAAAGGAAGCGCAGGCTTCCCTGGAAAGCTTCTCCGGGGGCTTCTTGCTGGGAACTCAATTTAAACTACCGCAATAAGGAATTCCTATTACTCCCTAGTAAGTGCTAGCGATCCCTATTATGTCCGCAAGATCCCTATTGTGGTACCTTACATGAAGTTCCTTAGCCAGAGACCAGTTTTCTCCTGTCAGGTCACGCCGGTCAGGGGCTCCATCCTCGCGAACAAGGTTCTTCACATTGCAGCTCCTGGCCTGAAACTTTCTGATATATAAAATAGTATATTACAATATAGCATAATAACGTATAGTATAGTATACTATAGTCTAATATTTATATGGTACAGCATAGAATAGTGCAACATAGTATACAGTATAATTGTGCTTGGCAGCTGGAGCACAATCTATGTCGGTTGGGTTCTCCGAATCTCTGAAAGAAGTGACTTCGTGAAGTCTGCCAAGTCAGGGATTTTCCGGGATCTGCCACACACTGCAGGAGTTGCAAGTGCTCTGAGAATTTCTCGAAGTCTGGAAGCCCCTAGAGCCGAGGAGACCTTGCGTCCGAACTGCGAAACTCGATTCCCGTGATTATAGAAGCCCGAAGCCGAAAGCAACGAGGAGACAATTGTGCAGCATGTCAAGGGGGCCACGAACGACCGCACCCGGGTTGCAGCCCAGACGGTGCAGAGTACTGACGGACGGAGGCTGAGAAGCCTTCCTGGCCTCACGAGAACTATATAGCCTGAACATTGGGTTTGAGCAGCAGAAAGTGTCCCGCAAGACAAAGGACAAATAAGCCGAGAAGTAAGCGCTTGGTCATTATCTCGATTCATGGATGATTGCATGTCCATGCATAGCTGCATAGCTGCATAGACACATGCATCGCAGCGATGGCTGTTTATGTTGCTTTACCAGCTTCGCCTGAAGCGAGGAGAGCGGGTAGTAGTTACCGACAACACAAAGAACTGCCAGCTGTGGTGACGTGCCATGACATATCAAGCAGACACACACACACTCACTCTCGCATGGCAAACAAGTATGAAGTAAAAATCGCTTTGTTGTATTTCAAAATGCATGGAGACTGCCAGCGAATGCGCCTAATTACTCGATCCATGTGTGTGTGCATACATGTAATTGCATGTATGCCGCTGATGCAGATACTCGCTGAGTCTTTCGGATGTCCGTTGACGTGCACCTGTCACGCTTGTTGGCTTTCCAGTGCAATTTTGTGCGTTGTATGTCGGTCGTTTGATCCACTACAGATAGATAGATCATCTCACTGCAGGTCCTTGTTTTCCTTTTTTTGGAGAAATCGGGTCCCCAAGGCGTGGACATCACGCGCTTGGCCCTGAACTTCAAGGTGGATCACAAGGTCCGCCCGTTTGCCGTTCGGAGGATCTCTCTCAAGAAAGCCTGTCCCGAACACATCTCGCACGCTGATCAAGCCAGTGGCCTGCAACTTGCATCGAAAACTCTTTGCACTCAACCATCGGTTATTGTCACAAACAGAGTACTGATAGCACTACTGCTCAGTTGCCAAGTAACCTGGTCACTTGAATTTAACCCAGCCTGAGGACCACCTGCACTTTCTCTTCGCCTCTTCAGTGCGCCCTTTGGCATAAGATGAGGGTACCTCGAGATATTTTTGTATCTCTGGTACCCTCCTGATGTATTCAGTAAGCCTGCTTCTCTTACTGATGTCGATCCGATCGGAGCCATGGACCCAGCCGAGCCTCCATCACGAGAGCACATGGGTTGGTTTACCTCTGTACTTCCCGACTATTTGGCAGAAGCTCCCCGCAAGGATCAGCTTCTGCACCCGTTGCACAGCCTAGAAGGCATCATTATGAAGTTGAGGTGATTCAAGTTCAGACCGCACCAGGCTTCTCGAGGCATCTGCTGGCTTGCGCATGATGTCGTGAGTGCAGCAGAGGTTCCGAAACTAGGGACCCTCCTGATCCCAAATAGAAGGATCTCCATTCGAAGGGATCCCAAAATCAGATTTGCTGACTTAACCCATATCATAAGTTTCTGAGTAAGGTGTCCTTGCTTGTGTCACCTTAGTGTATGTGATATTACACTATACTATACTATACTGTACTATACTTACATCATGTTACAGCATATTGTATCAGAAAGACTTATCAGCTCAAGGCCTCTCCGCAGCTACCGGAGCGCTGCCACTGGAGGCCCTTCATGGGTGCTCCGGGGCTCCGCCGAAGGAGCCCAGCTTACCCCTTTAGTGAGGGGAGGAGTACCCTTTGAGCTTGTTCATAGCATCTGGCTGCTGAATAGGATTTCAACTCCTATTCCTCGATTCAGGGGTCGTAGGCTCTCTGCTTCTTTTGCCTGTCCCGACAGCTTTCGTGCACCCTTTGGCAAGCAAACTCAGCAGCCATTCAGTCGGCCAGGTAAATACCAAATTGCAAGTCCCCGTCGCTTGCTTGCAGAAAGATTTTGTTCAGTCTGGGCGAACAGCATTGCGATGCCTATCTTTGCAAGTGCCGCGGTGCAGGTGTAGACCTGGCTTGTCTTCGCAAAAAATCAACAAGGAACTCGCAAGATCTAAGGAGAACATACACCGAGCACAGAGCGTGTCTCGTGTTGCACCGGCAATCTTGCTGCGAAGCTGCAGTTGCCCCACTTGCCAGGAGAAGGCCTATGTAAGCTTGCAGTAGGGTGTTGCGCAGGCTTTGCCACTGGCCTCATGTTTGGTCTCTTGCAGGTGCACGAGGAGATGCTATTCGACGTCTCCTACAAAGTCATTATGGAGCAGCCAGCCTGCCGTTCAGCCTTAAGTCCATGCAGGACCACTTGCACAGCACCAGCGCATAGTCTACACAATGGCAGCGTACTCCTTTCTGAACTTGTCTTTGCTCTGAGTTGGCGATGGATGGAGACCCCAGGTATGAAGAGCAGCGGCTCAGCGCCGCCAAGACTCTCTTGCCGGAGGCGGTTCAAATCTTTGCCGGCTCATGATTTAACCGGTTTCACAGTTCTTGTGGGAAGGTAACCTTGTCTCATACCGCTTGAGAGTTCGAAGAGTGATATCCGCCGTGCATCTTTAGGTTTCAGGAGTTTCTGGTTGTGGGGTTGGGGTTCTTTTGGACACAAAGCTCCGGGTGCTATTTGCATTTCAGGCCGGGAGCAGCCCGAGACTGGAGGAGGCGCGTGCGAGGGGAGTGCCTGTGCCTGTGTCCGGCGTGATTCAGTGACGGGTCGCACAAAAAGTCTGTGTGCGATCGTTGGCTGTTCAGTGAGTTCTCGAGCGGTGAAGATCTAGTAAACTGATCTCTCTATATACAAAGAAATATGCGTATGGTATACACGCATATATCCACATATCCATACATGCATGCCCATGGCCCATGCACATATAGACCAAACAAGTAAGTACTCTACGGGGGTTCCAGATGCAGACCTTTGTGGATGTGCCAAGGGAAAGCATGTCAGTTGGAGGTGTTGAAGGTCCTGATTTCCACAGGTTATGGACTAGTACGGCTGGGACTGTAGATGTCCCTTGCTTGAGCAAGGCTACACGTGTGCGGAATCATTGAAATTGTCAGCATTCTCTTCCACGCTGTGCCTGTCTCACGCTGCAGGTGCCGGAGGCATTGCAGAGGCTGCATCCTCGCCTGCAAGCGGCGGAGTACGCTACCCTGAAAAATGCTGCTTTGAGCTGAATCATGAGACGAAAGCCAGCCAGGTAGCTGTGCTTGGGAGTCTTGGCGATCTCGGGGTCTTCATAGTTGTCAGGCTCAAGCTTGGAGTCTTCAACCAACGCATGGTGAATTGCACTGTCTCTCGACTCTAGTGCCTCTAGACTAACAGGGCCGTGGCTGAGCGAGGCTGATATAAAGCTGGAATGCTGGAAGACACGCGGATAGACCTTGCATGACGGCCTATGGCCAGTTTGCTAAGGAACTGGCCTTCCAGGAAAAGTCTGCTGCCGTTTGCCCTGCGCTCAGACTATTTGGTGTCTCTGAAACATGTGCTGCGGGCAGCCTACAGGAAGGGCTGGCTGCGTCGAAGCAGCCTATCCAAGCCGTTTACAGCAACCCCAGTGCCTTTGCTCTAGTTGCTCTGGCGCAGTAGCCGCCATGACTGCTCACATCCAGACAGTGTATTCGGTTTGGGGCCAAAACCAAAACAGTATTAGGTGGATGTCTGGGCCGGAGAACCGGATGTGAGGTCGTGAGGAATGACGCCGAATGACCCACCTTGAAGATATCAGGCGACAATAAAGCTTCGTTTAGCTGGCGACATGAGCAGCGTCTGCAAGCTCCATGTGATCTCTGCAGGGTCTCTGTAGCATGGCAGGAGTCTGCCAGATTATGCACGAGAACGACACAAAACGGGTTTCAAAAAGCTGTGCTCACTTCACGTGTCAACCCCCACGGTATCCCGCAGTATCGTTTTGGGATGCTCAGGTGAGAACTGCTATTTGCGCTTCTCCACGGCACAGCCCCGCTGCCGCAAAGAGAAGATTTGCACGTTCAGCTGTATCGCCCATTAGTTTAGCTCCATCCACACTTTTCTACCCGGCCAGGCTAGGCCCAGTCCAGCGACTTGCCGCGCCCGAGCTGCGAACAGCAATGGAAGAGGCTGGTTTTGTGCGGGTCGTGATGAAGGCTCAGCCAGTGTCATTCGGGGCATCGCAAGACGGTACTTTCAAGAGCCACCTTGGTAGCAGCCAATCATACGCAGACGGCAGCTGTGGAACCTTGAGCATACTAGAATTAATAGAGTGGCACGCGTTGTATGCGAAGATGACAGAGCCCGGCTGATTATAGACCTGTGACCTGTACAGACCAGAAAGCCTCGCAGAAGCCGCCCAACAAAGAAGGAAGCCAAGACCTAGCGCCGAAACGCAGGCCTTGCTGCTGCGGCTCAAGCCTTTACAGCTTTGCTTTGCCACCGTGCCTGTCCTGTGCCTGCGCCACGCGATGCCACGCTCCAGCCGCCCTCTCGTTTGCCTGAGCCTCGTGGCTGCGGGTTACGTCGCCACCCGGCTCGCCGCTTTTGTGGCTGCGCCGACTGCACCGAAAGCTCCTCGAACACAGCTTCAGGCTCGTGGAGGAGGTGAGTACGATGTCAGTGACGCGGACATTCAGGCCTTCTACTCCTCCCTGCTGACCGGCAGTGGAGGTGACCCTCCCAAGGGCACGGTGCTCTCTGAGCTCGTGGTCAAGTTCTTTCACGGCGAGTTCCTGCCCCAAGGCTTCAAGCGCTACTCCGGGCTGTGGAAAGGACCGCCGCCAGGCACCATCGGCAAAAAGGACATCGCTGTGGGTGTCATGGGTCTCAAAGAGCAGATGGCGAACCCAATGTTCGTGACCAAGGGTGGGGTTGGCTATGGTGTGGATGAGACCCAAAAGGTGACGGATGATGGAAAGGGATGGGTGTGGCTGGCGGCTGAGATGAGCCCTGGTGGTCTCGCCCTAGAGCTCTTCAAGTCCGTTCCCTACGGCAAGCGCGCCCTCCTTGTCGCGAAGCAAAGCAATGTTGATGAGCTTTTCAACTCGGTGAACTGGGATGTTGCGCTGGCCAACGTTGAGAAGACTTTCGGCGGGCCTCAAATCAAGCAGCGCTGAGCCCAGCACGGGCCGCAGGTAGTCGAGCTTGTCGGCCGCATGCCCACAGTGTTTGCGGCCAGCTTGTGGTGAAGGGGTACAAAGCTCCCTGCAGCTTGCGAGAGATGCTCAGCATTGCGAGCTTAATTTTTCTATCAGAGGTTTTGTATTCGCAACTATGCACAACTTTTCAATCGTAGGCACGAAAAAACGTGGGATGTCCATCTCGACCTGCAGTAGATGTCTTGAGTGTGCTTCTTGAGAACCAGTAAGACATGGCAAGTCCAGGCGCAAGCATTCTCCCTGCTGATCGGGCAATGGGGTTATTGGGTCCTGATCTGCAGTTTCGATGCACGTCTCCGGTATGCTGTAGTGGTGCCCTGAAGTTAGCCAGTTAGCACGGTTCTTCTGTTCTGCTTTTTGTCCTGAGCTGTGGTGCCCGGTGCCATCCGGTGCCCATGATACTCGGGTCCTGTTCCGACACAGTTGCGGGGTTGCCTCGGCTCCGGTCTGGTTGTTCTTGCTGGACTTGGACAGTTACTTGTTTGCTTTGCCGTTTGCTTTCGAGCTCTTATGTCGCCCAGTTATAGTAGTAGTCGTCGCAGTCGTAGTGGTACTTGTCGTCGTCCTAGTCGTCGCCGTCGCTAGCAGCAGTAGTAGCAGTAGCAGCAGCAGCAGCAGCAGCAGTAGTGGTAGTGGTAGTGGAATACTTTCAGGAACCTTTTTTTTTCTCCCTAAACTCAAGGATCCCTTACGGGAAGCCTACCCTGCTCTAATTACCAAGTCCCCCCCTCCCTACTTAACACACGCGCAGGCCTTGGGTGACGCCGAGGCGGCCCTCGTGGGCACAGGACTTTCGGTGGCAAACCGCCTCCTTGCAAAAGGCTTTCGCGAGCCGAGACGGAGTCTAGAGTCTAGAGTCAACCCAACACTAATCCTAAACGGTATGGCAAAATGCATACTTTAAACCAACCTTCGAACCTGAAAAATTCTTCTGGAAGGTAACGCAGGGGCCTCCATGACTAGAAATGGTTTTGCCAGCTTGCCCTTGCCTGCAAACATATTTATACTAGAGTTCCGCTGTAGCTGCTAAGGCCCGTATACGATGGGGGGGCTGATACTTATGCTCGGCTTGCATACTCCCCTGTTTTCAAGCTATACTGAGTCCCCCAAAAAGAGCCACGCCCAGCTGCTCGTGATCCCTACTTCGAGGAGCCAAGGATCCTGAGCGCTTGGCTCTGCGGCGCGAGGCCGAGAATGCCGAATACAGAATGGAGAATCAAAGTAGTGCAGTTCCTTGGAGTTTTTTGTTATGGTTGTAGTAGAATCCCAAAGAAGACCCTGCTATTTTGTGTTAAGGCCTGCTTGGTAAGCCCTCGAGAGCGGAGCTATGCGGTGAGCTGTACTCGGCGTAAGATCAATAAGCAAAACTGTCAACATCCATTACAACGAGAGTCATTATGACAATTACTCGAACAGCATGTGTATGAAGACTCCAGACTGCCTCCTCCTCCAAAGATAGGCTGAGACTGGTTCTATTCTTTTACGATACCAGAATAAGATACCAGAAAATAAACAACAGTCACTTTTTCAAACCTATGCCAGTTCTATGTACGAACATGTTGAGGCTGATTGTCAGTTGAAGATACCTACCACACCTCTGTCTTTCTCCCTCTCTCCCTCTCTCTCTCTCTCTCTCGTTCGCTCGCTCTCTCGGTCTACCTCTCTCTCTTTCTCTTTGTTTGTCTTTCCCTCTCTCACTCTCTATGTATGCATGCGGAATGCGTGCGCGAAGAAAAAGACGCACGGGCACACACAAGCACACACACACGCACATATCCATACATAAATGTGCATACAGCTGTGCAGAAGTGTGTATATATATATATATGTACAGGTACACATGCAGATGCACAGCATTCTATCCGTTATCATTCTGCGATACATCTACGCAGCTACGACCCAAGAAGAGTTCAAGGCATGGGTACTTTTGTTTAACACTTTTTCAGGAAGCAGTACTAATACTGAAGTAGCTTAGCTAATGTACTCCGCCTGAATTCAGTGCTTCTCCAACGGATCCATACTTGAAATCAGGCGTCAATGTTTTGTGATGAAGCCTGGGTCCGTTTCAGGGGCGAAGGATCCACTTGCCCTGCTCGCTCGGCCAGAATCATTGACTTGTTCTATTGTTGGGATGTGGGTGGACTTGTCCATGCTGTTTTTTTGTGCGGTAGGTCGCAGTGTTCTGGTGCAGGGTGCTGAAGTACGGGTCGCATAAGCTGACAAGGCTTGCTGTGGGGTTGCTTCTCTGCCAGCAGGTGACGCGCAGGAAGATCCTGGATCGCAGGGCTCTGGAGATCCTTGGCCACAGCAGCATCAGAAGAAGCCATTTATAATTCTATTTCGCAAGCCCTTGCAATCGCGCTCCTCCATGCGCCAGTGCTGCTGATAATCCGCTGGTACCCTAGAGTCTTCAGCTATCAGCAAAACTAGACCCCCAAACGACACCAAAACGAGTGTGAGCCCGGAAGCCCTCACCCCTACTGAGCTTTGGGAGTCTGAGGGACGCCCTCTTCGATGCTGCAGAAGCCCGTGTCCCCTTGCGAAAGGCTCACCAAGCCTGGGAAATTCTCAGGGAACTGCCGAAAGAAATGGAGGGGTGGGGGGACTCTTACAGTTAGGCATCCCTGGCTTAATTATGGGCTTTTACAAGGGCGATGAAGGGTTTACAGGCTCCTGCAGGGAATCTGGGGTCCTTGCAAGAAGGCTTCAGCAATCCAGGGCTCTCTGTACTACCAGGATATGCCAGGCTGCTTTTGAATCACTCGGGCCTCCGATATAAAAACTCATCCCTGGCTAGCCTCCTAAACCCTATAAACCCTTAGTAACCTCGCCAGTCTTCTCCGAGTGTGAGGGACCGAAGCCCTCCATCTAGGAGCGATTTCAGCAAAAGAGTTGGAACCCATGACCCGATTTTTTTAGAGAAGTCCGAGACTGATCTGAAGGCAGCCAGTTGCCCAAAGCTTCCGAGTTGGGGCGCTCCGGCTGAACAGTATCAGGATGTGGGGACGGGTTGGCATCAGGACCTCAAGCTCAGCAGTGTTTTTGTTCAGGAACCTGGTTTAGGCGGGGGCTATCATCAACATCCACATGTCGGAGATTCATCTTCATATGGGCTTCCATGGCTCATCTCGCAGCCAGCGTCTCCCTTTTCCTGGTTTGAACTCAGCCTTTACCTATCGACCTATGCCTCGCCTCGATTGTCCGAGTCCAGAGATCAGTCTCTGTTCAGCACTCAGACAACCTCCAAGGTGTGCATGCCATAGCTTGAGATGAGATGGTTAGTTAGCCCGAACGAGGTCAGGTGCAACAACTGCGACCCCAAGAACACAAGTAGCGACAGCGGCTTCGAGACACCGGCTCAAACAGCGGCTTTTAACTACTGGGACTCGAGACCAAAGAATAGATTGGCAGATCCTTAGAGGGTTTCCTATGTGAGATGAGCTCTTGAGGTCCGGATCAGCAGGGCTACCCCCTCTGGGCTCCGACGCCCGTACTCCGGCGGCCAGCGCCGCCCAAGGGGGCACCGCCGAATGCCACGCGCCTCAGGGAGGCAGAACCATGATGTGGGATCTCGATTCCAGTAGCAGCTGTAACGGAAGACTGCAGGTCGGATGCTTCAAGCACTGAAGATCTTGTTGATCTTAAACATCATGGGGGCATGCGTCTGCCCCGACCCGAACAAGCCAGCGGCAGCGGCATAGCGTACGATTTCCTACCACGGTGACCGCAGGCAGTTACAGAGGCACCATTGCGGGAAAAGTCGAGGAGCAAGGCCCAGTGGAGAAGTTGGATTCAGCCCTTCTTGCAGTTGTTGTTTTCAGTTGGGGTCTGCTGGTGAAGCATGAGCGCCGCTGCGCGAAGGCAGTAATGGAATGTTCCCAACTTCTTCCGCCCCTGTTCGATCGAGGTAACTGGTACTTTGCCACCCTGGCCATTCAGGGCATCGGGTCGACACCAAGAAGGGTTGAGCCGATGTGTTCCGACGCAGTTTCGGTTCCATAAGTGTGTCGAAGGTATGGCTTCAGAAAACAAAACATGGCATTTTCATTTCGGCATTTCGACACCAAAGGAACAACATCCCTCGATGAACCGCCTGGAGAAGGGCTCCAACTTTGGATACCTGAGAAGGCATCGCAGCTGAATGGAGAGCCCTACCTCAAAGCGATCCAGGCCGTGCAGCTCATGCCAGGGATCTCGTTTCAATTGGGTTTAGAGTTCAGAGGCCCTCCTTGCTACATGTACGTGTGAGCAGTACTTGACCGGGGTCAAGAATCCGTCATGCCCGCTCGATCTTCGCAACTTAGTTTGCGGCACAATGCGATATCAATGAGGATCGTCGACTTTTGTACATCGATTCCACGGATGACCGTTTGCGGTTGGGCTTGCATGCAAGCTTGAAATAATCAGCGGGTCAAGCTGTCCAGGCTTAGGTGGCCTCAGGCGAAAATGCAAGCCTGCTGCAGAAACGGCAGCTGCTACTGTTGCCTCTACTGGCTGCCATTCACACCTGTAACATGTTTATCACCAGCTGCTGCGCAGCCTTACTTCCATCAATACTAAGGGGGTGTGACTCGCAGGACTTCGCTTCTTCCCACCAGCGGCGAGCGGCCGAGGCCCCCGCAATTTCCAATCCCTCGCAAAACGCTTTAAGTGTATGCAGCTAGCTGCACAGAGCCATAAATAGTGCTGATGTGGAAAGACGATGGTCATGTAGCAGTAGCATGTACTGCCCGGATTTCCTAGTGGTCATAGAGACTGGCAGATCAGCTTGGGAGGGCTTTAGAGAGGGGCCCAGACATCCCTCAGAGCGACGAAGCTACAACGTGAGAGCTCTTGAACTAGACCGGAGGCACGAATGGGAAAAGGCACGTGACATCTATGGTCATGGCTGCATGACTGCAAAGACAGACAAAAACGGCTTCGAGCCCGTGTGTCTTAACTTGGTATTTGCAGCATCAACTTTGGTATGCTGGGGAAGACAAGAAGCAGCTTCCTACTTTATTCAGACACCGGACAGAAGGCACGGTAACAGAACAAGCCAAGGATCCAAGGACACCCCAACAAGGAACCCCGAATGATGAGAACAACCCTGCGTGCTTTCTAGATTGTGAAGGTTCTGACATGCTCCGCATGCAAAGACAAGATCTTTCCATCTTCTTCGGGATGGAGCGAGTTTGTTCATGGCCAGTTCCTTCAGTCAACGTAGACGTATGGAGAGGTACCTCTTTGCTGCTTTCCTAGGACTATCCCTCCTCCTTTCTCCACATTTCCTTCTAACCCCCTCAAATACCCTATACCCGCCTATACCCGGTACTGCTGACATTTAGCCACAGTGCTTCGTCGTACCAGTTAAATTACCTCGCCCAGCTTGTCCCAGTTCTGAGTACTGAGACCGTGGAAATCCCCGGATCAGGTCTTGGGCCCACGGGCTGGCGAGAAGCTCGTAGCTCTCACACGGAAAGGCCTGCTACCAAGTATTGGTATTATATGGTATTATGACATTCTTACCACAGGTCTTATGTATAGGAGTTTCATGATATTATATGGGTTTAAAGGGCTTGCGGTCGTTTGATATGGTTTGGGTGCGTGGTTCAATCTGACCCAAACCTATCATTGTGATTCTCATGTACATGTAGCTTCGGATTATTTCGATGGCTTCTTATATCTTCTTATGACTTTCACACTCATTATTAGTCTGGTGCTGATGCGCCTGGGTCTTAGTTGCTATAATCAATCGTCTTGTGCCATGGTTTCTAGCTTAGACTGGGCTTCTTCTTCTTCTGCTTGTGCTTCTTCTTGTTGTTGTTGTTGCTGCTGCCTTTCCCAAGGAAGATTTTAGCGGAGGCATCACTATATCACGTGGAGTTTGAACCAGGATGCTGCTTCCGCCTCAGCTTCTTACAGGTCCGAAGGTGCCTGCAACCGGGGGCGATGTGCCGGAACGCCACGCGGCCCCAACTAGGTCGCACTTTGGTCGGGCTTCGGGGTGACGTTGGATATTTGGGGAGTGTCGGTGTCATGCACAGAGTTTAACTTTCGGATTTCACGATTTCGCAAGCGCCCAGATGTAGCCTGCTTGTTTTCGACTTGCTGCAACTGTGTGGTTGGCATGGGGTCCGGTTTCGGATGCCCCGACATGTGAATTCTCGCCCCGAGGCACTGAATCCTGCAACTGTCCATGTTGCAGCTTTCCGCAAGAGAGCACCCTACTCTCGTTGCAGACTTCAGTGAGCACCTGGTACTTTTGACCGGCTCCTTGCTGAGGAACAGCTTTCCGATCCCGAACCAGAGGAACTCTATTTGAGCCGGTTTGTTCTGTTTCAAAGCAGTGGTTTTGCAAGAGAGGCTCTGGGCCGAGTCGAAGTCTTCCAGCCAGATCTGCATGAGGTATCCCAAGCGACGAGGAAGAGGTTGCACGCGAGACACTTCGACTGCAATTAGGATTTGACAGGAAGCATAGAGGCATAGAGCGAGGACTGCACTTGCGCTCACAGAGCAGCTACTCCATGTCTGATGTTACCCGTGACTGAGGCAAGTGCGGAAATACGTCTCCCGCCACAGCTCCGCAATCTCGACACCGACGACCAGGCCGGGTGACATGTTATCGCAGCATTTATCCTTGCTCTGTGGTCGTTCGGACGTGTACAAAGGCCCCGGCAGCAGTGTGAGGCGGCTCTTGCAGCTGTTAATTGCAATTGGCGGCATTCGCATTGGAGTTTCAATATCCGGCTTGCATATCAATATCCGTGTAAAGCTGCCAGTCAGCCAGTCCCTAAACTCGACTCTAAACTCTAAACCGTCTATCATCAAGTTCGCATCTTCCATCGGTCCGGGTGGGTCTCCGCTTTGCAGGGAAGGACCTACAGCCAATGTCGTGAGATTGTGATATTTTCACGGCAAGCTAGATAGATAGACAGGTAGGTAGATAGACAGATAAATAGGTTGGTAAACGGTTGACACTTGTAAATAGACAGGTAGATATGTTAGTAGATAAATGGATAGATAGATAGGTACAGATCGATCGGTAAGATGCATGCATACATAGTTAGGTAGATAGGTAGATCGACAGATAGATAGATCGGCAGATAGATAGATCGGCAGACAGATAGATAGATGGATAGATAGGAAGATAGATAGGCATATTATGCTACGTGTACACTTGGATCCATTAAGCTGCGCATGCCCCGAAAAGACATGCATGCATACCTATACACAGCAGCGTCCTTATATGCCTTGACATGAGTGCCTCGAACGGGAGGTAAGTGTTTCTTGTTTTGAAGGCCACCGTCGCACCTGGACGGCAACGGCTCGGCGCCCTCTTCGAACCCCACGTCCCGGCCCTCCACGCGGCCCAGCTCCCGAGGCTGCGCTTTCGTCTTTTAGCTATGCGGGTTACATGGTATTGCGCAGATTTGTGCAGCTGACGAAAGATGATTGGCGCTTGTATCTTCCTCAAATCGCATTGGTTTGTGAGTCCACGTGCTTGGTGGAGCTTCAAGTTGCGAATCCAGGCGTGCAGCTTTGTGTTGTTGGGTGGTTTCGTGAAGGGTGCATGGCGCTTGAGGTTGTGGTCGGCGCCGCGCGGTTCTGCACATATTTTTGCTTCATCGGGCATGTTCGGTGTGTGGGGATCGTGAGATCTAATCATCTAACCTGTATATGCATATATGTATATACATGTTTAGGGTGCGCTGCATCAATTTACCTGCGCAAATTCTGAGGAATGAGTTCAGACAAATATAGGCAATGACGACTTCCCATTCAGAACCGCGCAAACATGCATCGGATATCGACCTTCCTCTTCCTGCCTCTTGCTGTCCTCCTCCTGTTGATTTGTTGGATCGCTTTGTCATGACCTGTCCGCCAGACAGCGAATTGCTTGCGCAAAGCAACTGGTGGTCACAGCTAGGGTCTTATACTGGAGCGGCAAAGACAGCTCTCAAATTGAGTCGGAACGTCTCTACACAAACGATTTGCTTACCAGCCTGCACATGCACGCGTGCGGGCACTTCGGACTTCCGGACTTCGGACTTCCGGACTGCAGACATGTGCATCGGTGAGACGGACACGGACATATGTTTGACGGTTCAGTAGTGGTCGCGTGCGTACACGCCCGTGCACATAATGCACACACTCACAGCTGCCGACATGCATGCACGCTTTGGAGCTGCCTACGCACGTTGGCAATCCAACAATCATGCAGACAAATCGCGGCATAGCGTCGACATAGTGCAAGCAAGCGGAAGGCATTTTAAAGTAGATAATGTGTTGTGGTGTGCTGTAATGAACGTACTGAAAGTATCTGAAAGTATTGTAGTGGAACGTAACGTAGTGTAGTTCAACACACTATATAATGTCAAGTTGATGTATGTGTGCACGTGTGCATGAAGGAGTTCGTAAGAAAAGGATGACACAGACACTACCATGTTTCGATATGGTTCAGGTACCGATGCAACAGGTTTTTAAAGGCCCGGTAGCTCTCGACACCTAAGGGGTTGCGTGGCTGATCATAGGTATGCCTGCCTCATCTTTCGCTCTCACATGCATTAACCAAAAGCCAACTGCTCCGGCGCCGTGTTTTGCGTTGATTAAGGTTTCTGCCTGAGAGTCATTACTGGCAGGAGTTGTGGGACGCTCTTCGCGACCATCTTCGTCGCCATCGGTTGGCATTGGAAGTCGAGGAGGCCTGGACGTTCATCTGAGTATCTAGCTAAGTGCCTCGAACTTGGGACCTAAGCCAGTTTAGTGCAGAGTGTAAACCGGGTGGTCTTCGATTCAGTCGAGTTGTCCGCCCTGGCAACTTGAAGGCTTCTGGAGGCCCAACCCGAAACCACTGCTTTGTCATGTGATGCTCCTCGCTGGATGGAGTCGCCAACCCCAATCAGGAAGCCTTAGGAAGTCACTTTCGGTACATCGTCGCAAGAAACTGATCAGTTGTGGTATTGCAGGGTTTCGGTCACCCTGCACATCCGAGACCGAAAATCCCGCACGCTGCGTTCTCTGTGATGTCACTGATATTCACTGAATAAGAATACAGTACCGTTCCCTTGCAGTGCCTATATCACTGCAGAAGAACATATGCAAGAACCCTATTCTAGTTAGTTCGGTCCAACCCTAGAGGAATGTTATGAAACCTTTCAGGTACTATAGAAGCCTAAATAGTTTCCAATAGTATTCCTCAGGGCTCCTTATTATGACTATTATAAGTTTACCATTAGGGGGCCCCGAGAGCCTATTCCGTTTTTTCAGCCCTTACATCAGCCTTAGATTAATCCGTCTGAGGGAGGCCCCGGCCGGCCTCCTCGCCGATGGTGCGTGGGCAGAGCTGGCGGGAGGTGCATCTCGGGTTTAGGATTCTGGTGTCTTAGGGTTTATAGGGTTTAGGTGCTGCGCTTCCCAGCTGATTGGCAGAGTCTGGGTTCAAAAAAAAGCTTTAGGCGGGCACCCGAAACCCTAAACTAAACCGTGGTAGGGCTCCGGGTTGTCGGTCTCTGGGTGGCACCTGCATGGCTTTAGACTGTCCTACCTCCGGTGTCCTTGTCAGTCTGAGGTCCACGCCCTGTTTTTTTCCTCATTTCAGCCATTCGAAGCGTTTGCAAAAGACGATTCTGTGATGATGTCTCGCTATGAGCCCGAGAGTTCCGGGTTTCCGGAGAGGTGCTTCGGGCGGCTGAAGCTACTCGGGACGCTGAGACACAGAATTCGACTACAAGCCCCTAGCATGCTCCAGCCGGGATCTTAAGACTACCCGGTTTCCATCCTCACCCGCCCAGAAGGAGTGAACTGCACCATGGGCTTGGAAGTAGATTCACTCTTTCGGACTCAACCGCGGAGCAGATGTTGCTGTTGAAAAGAAAAGGACTTCTGGAGCTGGACAGTAGAGCCATAGTACTTTGCTGGCATTCGGCTATTCCTTGCTTTATCTGATAAACGGCCTGGATCGTGGAAGACTTTGCCTCTCGGGCCATTTGCTCACACTCGGTCAGATCCCCATGCTGGTAGTGCTTCTCATGGGCGTGCACAATGACAAGGGGAAAGGCCCTTTTGAACTTCATGCTCCGAAGGAGCACGGGCACCAAAGACCATTTGTGCCCAGATGTCTTGGGCACTTCCCTGAAAACTTCCGGTTGAACGGCGTGTGACTCACCAGAGCGCTGCGAAATGCGCGTTCCGCGGGCCACAGCTAAACGTCAAAGGCCGGAAGCTGTATTCAACACACCGGGTTAGTGGACCTTCTCATCACAAGGAAGTCAGCAGACAAAGAGGGCCTGCCTCTCACTTCTATGTAAGCCGATTTGGGGCACAGCTGCGAACTGCAGCGGTTTCTGGCAGGTATGGAGTGCTTAAGCAGATGCAGAGAATTCAAAGCAGTTAGGATGCCGCTGAGACTGGTCGGACTGGGCACTCAGAGCAGGATCTGTTGGAGAGTCAATAGTATGTATGTCTGTATGTATGTATGTATGTATGTATGTATGTATGCATGCACGTATATACATATATATATATAGTGTAATATACACATATGGCTGAACCACATGCATGCATGCATACATACCTTACAATGCAAGTACATCGTGTTAAGTTACATACCTTACGTCAATGCATGCATGCATACATATGCATTAGCTTGCCTGATTGGTTGATTGATTGCTTGTTTGATTGATCGAGTGATCGATTGACTCTGGGTTGCAGTCGTCTGCATTCATTCTTGCCGAATACCAGCAACAGACATGGTAAAGCAGCAGCATGCCCTTCAAAGACGCGCGCCCAGCCCCAAGGTGAGGCGGAAGCATTTCTGTTTCACATCCGCTAGCATGCACTGCTCCTAGACGGTGCTTTGCACCCAATGAGTCGTGGTCAGCCGGCCTGCCTTCTTCAAAGAAACAAGTGGTGCTTGCAAGCATGGATATTACGGTACAAACCGATGTACAAACATCATTACGCAAGAGGGATTCATACAAGAATCGCTTCCTGCTGGCTGAATTGAATGCTGCATAGGCCGCAGTTGAGATAGCAGTGAGTCGAAAAACTGGGCCGATGTGGCCATGTCGATTCTTCAATGCTTTCTGGACAGACATCCTCATGTAGTTCCTGAGGCTTCTTGAGCACCGACCTTTCACCGCGCAAGGCAACGCTCCCCGAAAACTCAAAAGCACCTCTAAACCCTAAGCACTAAACCCTAAACCCTACACCGCATGTCCATGTCCGAGTTGTGAGAGCGTAAACCCTACACCGCAGCAGGACAAGCGCCGTTACGGCCTCCTCCGAGCAGGCGGCACGCCGAGCTGTTGGCACCACGCTGGAGGCGGCGAAGATGGGAACCTGACGAAGAAACCTGGGATCTTTAGGGTTCCTTTCAGGGATCTATAGGATGCTATTGGGGGTCTAGTATATGAACCTGACGAGGAAGGGTTGATTATATGAATCCTAACGTTTTGGGGCTGTAGGGCCAGGGATTCTAATACAGGCCCCTACATTCCTTTACACATCCTTTGCTCTCCAATGTACTGCAGTTTTTGTATCTAGGCTTTTCATGGGTTTAGAGTATAGAGTTTAGGGTGGAGCTGTTGTTTCGTTTTAGATCAAGATGACAAAGAAACACAAGATAAAGAGGCCGAAGATATCGATGGCAATAATAACGACACCAAGAGCCACATTGACCACAACAGCCACTACCCATCAACAGCAGCAAGACAGCTACCGCCATCAGCCACCGGCCACCAGTACTTGTAGCAGCGCCGCCACCTCAAGCCCCGCCACCAACTTGAGCACCGGAACAGCGTGACACCACAGCAACAGCCAGCAACAACACGAGTGGGTCACCAACACCACCGACGACGGCTAATAGCATGCAGGAGGTAGCACTCTACAGCAGCCGTCGGCTTCGTCGTGCAAGAGTTGTCTCGGCTCCCCATCGGGAAAAAATGCATGGAACCTGTGGTCCCTTTCAGACATGAAGTGAAGCCGATGTTGCCAGCGAAGAGCCAAGATTTTTTTTTTTTTTGGGGGGGGGGTCAGCTTGCATCCAGGCCGTCAGCTGGGTCATGCAGGCCAAGGTGCAGGCATTGGCGCAATCAGAAGCTGCATCGAAGTTCTTGGCGGCCTTGATCTTCGTGTTTAGTCCTCAAACTTAGACTGAACGGCACACCCTAAGATCCTTTGTGGTTGTTCCGAGATGTTCCCGACTGCTGTGCAGCCACGTCGTGCGGTGGTGATAAGCCGACCACCTGGACACCACAATGGCTGCAATGAGCCGCTGGAGGCGTGGCGGCTAGTGTTGTTGAGCATGTCTTGAAAGTACGGCTTGATGAGAATGTCTCTGACATGCAGCAGGGTTCAGCACACGTCTATAAGCTTCGCCTCACAAGGCAATTCAGAAGAACGCATGGCGCTTTGCGGCGCATGGTGGGTGTATCTTGAATGAGCCACTTGTCTTGGTCAGGTTCAAGCAGATTTGCACAAAAGCAGTCCTAAGTCCGGGGTGTGTGTGTGTGTGTGTGTGTGTTAATTGCAACTAGAAGCTTGAATGCAACAGACATATTTGCCTAGATATAATATGTGTGTAATATTGTGTAATATATACATGTTAGATCTAAAGTTATGTCAGCCTATGTTATGTGTAGTCATATGCGTGTGATAATCAAGTGCTCAAGCTTCGAGTGTAGATCAATGCACTCTGTGGCAATCAAGCACATGTCAGCGCAGGCAGGCAGACCCCCCCCCCTTTTGTGACCAGATTTTTCGGAGCTCCTACTGTCTGTACTGCTTGTCCAAGGACTGCCATTGCGGTGCGCAACTTGCTGGCACGGCATCCCGAAAGCAAGGTCAGCGCTGAACTCCGTTTGTGGATGTGCTTATATGCTTCAACAACGTTGAAAACAAAGAGCCTCAGTTTGTCCGGATCCCGGTTGTCTTTGCCACCGAGCCTTTCTCAGAATTAGTGCCCCCATGTGTGTCGGTAGCTTCTGCTTGACAACGGCATGCCTTGGTCTGGCGGTGCAGGTTGTTGTGCTGGACTTGGATGCACACTTTGGCGTGCCGCCCCAAGCTTCGACGATCCCAATCTGACAGCATGAACCCCAACGTGTTGGATTAAGGGATGTTTAGGGCTTCAAGAAGGCTAGTGGGTCGTCGCAGTAGATGCCATAATGGTCTGCAAAAGCGGGTAGCAGATGCCTGATCCCCAGGATGGCACAGCCTGGCAGTTTTACGAGGTGGGAGCTGACTTTCTGTTTCACAGTGGCTATGATCGGGATCAACCAAGGGAAACAGGCCGAGCAAGGGAGACAGGGGAGAAGCGGGAGCTGTGGCTTGCTTGACATGAATGTTCAAGCTTCAAGCTGCTCTGGGACGGGGGCCCCACGAGCGGCGAGGTTGTACACAAGGTAGCGGGCAGCCTGCAGCACACGGAATCTTAGTGCGTGATATGCAGCAAGGCCACGAAAGAACATGCGGAAGCCCGCGGCGCAGCTGTATGATGCTTTATGGATTAGAGCAATTAGTCTCTGGGTCGAGGATTCTAGCACAACTTCATTCGAAGCCACGCGTTATGCGCCATGGCTGTCGATGCAGTCTCCTGTCAATGGCACTCTCTCCATCTTCCAGGCGGATGTGCTCACGGCCTGCCACATGCTACTTGCGTGCTCACATGGTCGGACGAGTCGTGTTGCACAGCGCGAATGTCAGCTCCCAGGGCCGTCAGCAAATCCTTGTGCGCCTAGTGTATTAGGCTATGATACAATAGAACATATTACACTCTTCTTCCTCTTATTATTATTATTATTACTTTTTTATGGTTATAGTTTCAAAATATGTTGTCCCAATTCTTGAGTCGAGCCTTCCGCGAGGTCGCAGCAAAACTCTTGCGCCCTTTCCTTCGCTGGAGAAGCATCTTGCCTGACCCGGTGTTCTCCTAGGCCTCATATGGGGGCCGCAATAGCTCCAATAGTTACCACAACTATCCGGTATGCTACATTATGGTAGTCCCTGGTGGAATCATAGTGTAATATGCCCGGAACCATTACTCTACTTATTAAGGCGTTATTAATTTGATGGGCTTCTTCTCAGCTGACAGTTGTATGTCCAGGACGCTGCACAGGCAGAAACACACTACCAGCTACAGAGAAAGCTTGAGCTTTATGATCATTTCTGGGGTTACCGAAGGCGCGGAATTCCAAACCGCGGCTACGGACGCTGTTTGCAACTCCAGGTAGGACAAGCACCGGCAAGATAGGTCGCCAATGTATTGCCCTCATTTTCGTTCTGACATCGCAGTTCCCAGTCCTTGGACCTTCGATGTGCGCTTCAGAGTTCTACCCGTTGAATTCGCAATCACTCAGCCTTACTAAGCAACACGGACCGCAATCTCAGAGCCGAAGCTCGATTCTTCGAGAGCGCGAGCGAGAGGGAGAGAGAGAGGGCCATAGCTGTAACTTGGTTGCAAGACTCAGCCGGGGTTCACGGTCACACCGACAAACCGGACACGGACTCAGGCGTAGCGCTGATGCGGAGGGGTGGGCAGTGTGCTTCCTGTCCTGCAAGCAAGCAAGCAAGCAAGAGAGCGCAAGCCTCAAGCAAGAGCTCGATTCCACCAGATGTGACTTCCACACCGAAACCACAGCAATTGAAAAGCACTCCAGCAGCATTCCAATTTCCGAAGTTCCCGTCCTACTCCCTTCACACATGTGGGACTTTCCGAAAATTAGGGGTACCTTATGTTG